TGTAAGAGCTTGGCATGCATCTTTCCACACATTTTTCTGTGCTTTTTTTTTTTGGCTGCGTTGGGTCTTCGTTGCTGTGCACGGGCTTTCTCTAGTTGTGATGAGCGGGGACTACTCTTGGTTGCAGTGCGCGGGCTTCTCATTGCGGTGGCTTCTCTTGTTGCAGAGCACAGGCTCTAGGCATGCGGGCTTCAGTAGTTGCAGCATGCATGCTCAGTAGTTGTGGCTCGCGTGCTCTAGAGCGCAGGCTCAGTAGTTGTGGCACGTGGGCTTAGTTGCTCCGTGGCATGTGGGATTTCCCTGACCAGGGCTCAAACCCGTGTCCCCTGCATTGGCAGGTGGATTCTAAACCACTGCGCCACAAGGGAAGCCCTGTGCGCTTTTTTTAGGATGAAATAAATAACAACTTGCCTGCATAGTCGTGGGAAAGGAGGGGAATTGGTAATGCAGAAAGGAGGGTGCTTGCTGAAGTCAGTGGCCTTGATTAGACAGGAGAGGTGGGCCTGGGGCTGGCTTGGGCTCACTTAGGGGTGCCTCCTTTGTGCCAGCAGGAAAGAGGGAACCAGAGTAGATGAGCCCAGATTCAAGGGCATGGTCATTGGTGGATGGAGTATGGAGAGTTCGCTTATGAATGCTGCTTCTGTTTTCCCAGTGAAACGTAGAACCCAGTCATCAGCCGAGGGTGAGAGCAGGGAAGAGGTTTAGCGATCCCAGTGGAAGGAAGAGGCATGACCCCTTCATCCTGGGGGCTGGCTGGACCAGAGAAATGTGGTTGGGCTGCTGGGGCAGCAGGGGTCCCCTTTGGGTTCAGGGTCCTGGAGGTGTGTCCATGGGCTGTGTCCGCTGTGTGGCGCAGGCAGCGAGCAGGCAGACAGGTGGCAGGGAAGGGAGTAGGAGGCCGGTGACTGCCCTGGGGACGTCTGCGCTGGCCCGGGAGGCGAGAGAAGGAAGATGGGGGCTGGAGGGGGGGCGGCTGCTTGGTGATGACAAGATCTGGGTGCTGCCCTGTGAGGTTTTTGAAAACAGGAGCATTTTTGGATGATCACAATGACCGCATTTAAAGGACAGGAACTGACGTTCGGCCTAAGTGAGGATTTCCTGCCCTAAATGATAGTGGCTCCTCCTTGTGAAGGGCTGGTCCCTGGGGCTGAGAGGTGCAGTCGGGAGGGAGAGGAGGTCCCCGGGGGGTGTGCAAGGCCAGTGTGGCGCGAGTGGTGGCGGAGGTGGAGCCGCTGCCCCGGAGGAGGGGGGTGAGGCTGGGGGTGACTCGGGGCTCTAGGTGGCCTAGAGGAAGCAGGCTCGGAGGGCACAGGTGTCATCTCACGGCCTAAGAGCCACAGCTGAGAGTTTTTAGGAAGTGGGAGGGGAAAGGGTGTGACAGGCAGGGGGTGGGGTGCCAGGCCAGGTGAAAGAGCCCCTGCCCTGCTGTAGTCCCAGAGCGCCCGCGGGGCGGGCGAGGCGGGTGAGCCAGCAGGGGATACTCCATCCTGGAACTCCACAGGCGCCACAGGAGGCGGAGCAGGCGGGGCTTCCTGTGACTGATGAAAGCAGGGCTCAGAAGTGTGATTTGAGGTTAGTTCTGGTGGTCCGCAGTCACCACGTGGGGGGAGGGGAGGGAGGAATCCCAGGCTCCTGCGGCCCGGGGCCGCCTCGTTGGCCTCCACACCTGGACCTCCACGTGCAGGGCAGGCCGTGGGCCTTTTCCAGTCCCGCCAGCAGCATCAGTGTTCCTCGTGGCTCCGCTGTTAACGCTAACATTGTCATCGGTTTTCTCTCTGGTTTCAGACTGCTGTTGATGTTTTTAGAAGGATAATTTTGGAGGCAGAGAAAATTGACGGGGCCGCCTCACAAGGAAAGTCCTCCTGCTTGGTGATGTGATTCTACTGCAGAACCTGAAGGCACTGGGAACCTGGCCTGCCTGAGGAGGCAACCTGCCCATTTTCCTTTAAGATAAACTCTGCTTCATTTCTCTTCTGTTAACCTGAAAGATTTCATTTGGGTCAGAGCTTCTCTCCCAACCCTTCCTTTCAGATTATGTTAAACTCTGACTCGGTCCAAATGAGTTCACTTCCATTTTCAAATTTTGAGCAATCATATTTTCAATTTATATATTGTATTTCTTAATAATATTATGACCAAGAATTTTATTGCATTAATTTTTCAGTGTAGTTTGTTGTTTAAAATAATGTAATCATCCAGATGATACATATTGTTACACTACTATTAACTAGGCTTCAATATGTCAGTGTTTATTTCGTTGTGTTAAGTGTATACTTGTAAATAAAATAGCTGCAAAGCCTAATCGTTGTGCTCCTCAGTGTGGCTTCTGAAGAAGGAAACCTGTCCTCCTGAGGGCTGCCTGCCCCGCCCCCGAGGAGGCCCGGCTTGGACTCCAGGAGCCAGTGGAGCCTGTGGCCCACCAGGCGGCTGTGGGCACTTGGGGTAGAGTGCCCGAACTGGCGGGGGGGCATTCCTGTTGACTAAAGCCGAGTGACCTTGGGGGGCTCTGTGAGGGGAGTTGTTCCCCAATAATAACTGTTCTCCCCACCTTGGTTGGAATGTTTCATGCAGGTAGGGCTGCAGGCTTACTTAGAGCCTTCCGGCCACCCTCTTGCTTGTCTCTTAGCTACTTGAAGAAAAGGGGACCTAAAGATACACTTACTGTCTCTCCTTTTACTTAGCTTGGTGTCCACGGCAGACAGGATCTGACTTAGAAAATAGATTGGCCTGTCACTATCCCAAAACCTCCAGGAGTTTAAAGGATGGGGAAGATTGCCTGGTAAGTGTTCTGTGTCAGGGCTTCATGAACCTCCCTCAGACCCAGACTGCCTACCTCCCGTTCTGCCAAGAGCAGCTTTGAGGGAGAGTCGAGGATTTCAATTGCCTGGTGGCCATCACCTCGACTCTGAGAGTTCAAGTTGAGTGAAATTTTTTAAATGATGTTCCTTCCCAGTTAGAATTTCACAGCCATTTCTAACCTTTAGGGAAATGTTACTGAGTCTATGGATAAAATAGAATATTGCTTTGTAACTGATCTTTTTTTTTTTTTTTTTTTTTTTGCCGTACGCGGGCCTCTCACTGTTGTGGCCTCTCCCGTTGCGGGGCACAGGTTCCGGACGCACAGGCTTAGCGGCCATGGCTCACAGGACCCAGCCGCTCCGCGGCATGTGGGATCTTCCCGGACCGGGACACGAACCCACATCCCCTGCATCGGCAGGCAGATTCTCAACCACTGCGCCACCAGGGAAGCCCTGTAACTGATTTTTTAATGAAAAATTATGTTTTTAGAATATGCCATTATGGACTTCCCTGGTGGCACGGTGGTTTGAGAATCCACCTGCCAATGCAGGGGACACCGGTTCGAGCTCTGGTCCAGGAAGATCCCACATGCCGCGGAGCACCTAAGCCCGCGCGCCACAATACTGAGCCTGCGCTCTAGAGCCCGCAAGCCGCAACTGCTGAGCCTGCGTGCCCACGACTACTGAAGTCCGTGCGCCTAGAGCCCGTGCTCCGCAACAAGAGAAGCCACCGCAATGAGAAGCCAGCACACTGCAACCAAGAGTAGCCCCTGGTTGCCGCAACTAGAGAAAGCCTGTGTGCAGCAACGAAGGCCCAACATGGCCAACAATTAATTAATTTTTTAAAAAAGGATGCACCATTATTTTGAATCTTTATAGTTTGTGTCTTATCATTCAAGGATGCAATTTGAGCCAGGATGAAAAAGACCTCCACCAAATACTTTTTAAATACAAATAAGTTTTAGCAATGTAGTATCATTACTTACTAACAGGGTTTATTCTTAGGCCTAATATGTGTCAGTACTCACTGGATGGAACCACATTAAATCTGGATTCAGTTCATCCAGGCAACATTTTACATCCGATAAGTTATTTCTGTGTAAATGGAATCTTGGGGCAGCCTGTTCTTGCAACTACAGTTTGACTCTCACGAAATGTCCTCTAGGCCTAGCTGCCCTGTTTGGAGGTGACGTGGATCTCTTTACATGGTGTGGCTCAGCTGTTCGTTCAGATGTTTTCTGAGCACCTGCGGTGTGCTACACACCGTTCTAAGTGCCGTGAACACAACAGAACTCTGCACCCTGTAGAACTTACGTCTGACCTTGCCCCTTGAATAGCACAGGGCAGGCAGTCCTGCTTCCCAGTGCAGTGACCCATCCACAAGATGGTTGATTGGATTATCTGATGGGCTGAGCTTGTGATGTGTTCCGAGAGTGATGTTACTGAGGGGTGCTCTCCAGTGGTGGGGAGCACGTGACCTGGAGGTGGTGGTGGAAGGCGGTCAGCAGTACCTCTTCTGGTTTGCTTCACGTCCACCCTGTGAAGCAGGTGCTGCCCTATTTACAGTGAGGAAACTGCCTTAGAGGTGTCAGCGACAGTCATTAGCCACATTCACTGTGTCAGCGAATCTAATGATGTGTTATCTGAGCCTTCTGAAGAAATTCTTAGAACTGCCAGGTTTGACTTAAATGTCGTTATTTAATAGTGTATTTCATCACTCCTAAGACCTTTCCTTACATTTTAGCATTTTTCTTTTTTTTTTTTTTCTGATTTGAATTTTTCTTTTAAGTTCGGATGGAAAATTAAGAACACTTCCGGAACTTCCCTGGTGGCACAGTGGTTAAGAATCCGCCAGCCAATGCAGGGGAGACGTGTTCAATCCCTGGTCCGGGAAGATCCCACATGCTGCGGAGCAGCTAAGCCCGTGCGCCACAACTACTGAGTACACGTGCCACAGCTACTGAAGGCCGCGGGCCTAGAGCCCATGCTCCACAACAAGAGAAGCCACTGTGATGAGAAGCCCGCGCGCAGCAACGAAGACCCAACGCAGCCAAAAATAAATAAATAAATAAATATCCTTCTTAAAAAAAAACTATGAAAAAGAACAATTCAAAGTTCTAAGCACAAAATTCAGGTATGTCATGTGGTGGACTTGCTTCTTCAGCTGGAGGTGAACCTGGCAGCCGACGGAAAGAATCCGCACTAACAAACAGCAAATTGCACAAGGATTGTCCCCGTGAAGAAGCCGGTGACGTGGCGTTTGATTTTCCCAGCTTGGCTCCTTCCCCAAAGTTGAGGCTCTGGAGTCCTGAGTCTTCGGCATTTAACTAGTTCTTCGTTGGGGGGAGGGGCTGGGACTGTCCCGCCACATGTAAACCGATCTTTGTCATAGATCGCTTTTATAATGAGAGAGCAGCCGGGGCGCGTTGCCACATCTTCCCCATTCTCCGTATGTTCCTTGGTGACGCAGAAGTTATCCCCACACGGGCAGGGGTAGAAGTACATCTCCAAGACCTCGTCATATTGGAAGTCCTTGATCTCCACCTCATGAAACGCTGCCATCGTCACTGGGGCCAGGAGAGGTCTTGTCGCCTCCGCCATTTTAGCATTTTTCTTAGTGGGACGTACAACGCAGCCTTGGGTTCATTGAAGCACAGTAGGTGCGAATACAAAACTCGGCGCATATCCAAGGCTGTCTTGCAGCTCATAATACAAAGTGTAAGATCACAGGACAAATTCAGATTAATGTGATGGAATTTTGCTAAAACTAAATTGTTCACTCCCCGCCCTCTAGAGCGCCGTGTCTCCCCGCCATGTCACTGACGGTGCTCTCGCCTGAATTGCTCATCACCTCCTTGTCACCACGTCCAGTAGGTATTTCCTGGCCTCTGTCCTGACCCTCCAGCATTGCACGCAGTTGGTGACTTCTCTCTGAAGGTCTCTGTTTCCGCCTTCTGGTCTTCCTCCCAGCTCACTGTTGCTGCCTTGGCCTCCTCGGCTGTTGCCTCCTCCATTAACCTCTCGATGGGCCATTTTTCCTTCTCCCCTTCCTTGATTTCATCCTGTCACATAGCTCTCACTGCCGTGTTTGCTGAAGACCAAAATTCCTTTCTCGCACCCTGACCTCTGGGCTCCAGGCTTGTCTTCTCTTAGATGTCTCATGGGCATCTGAAGTTTATCATGCCCAAATTCTTGATTTTCCCTAAAAACGTGGTCTGCCCTGGACCCTGCTTCAGGAAATGGCACCATCATCCACTAGATACTAAAGCTAGGAGTTGGGGAGCCATCCTCTACCTCTTCCCTTGTGTCCCCTCCCAGCCAGTCCATCAACAAATCCTAAGGGCCCTGCCTTCAAAAATCTTACATTTTGCCCACTTTTCTCCATCTTCACTGCATACTAGTCTCTAACACCACACCCTCCAAATCATTTACTGCAGCCCAAGTCAACTTTTTTTTTTTTTTTTTTTTGCCACACCGCATCACTTGTGGGATCTTAGTTCCCCGACCAGGGGTCAAACCTGGGTCCACGGCAGTGAAAGCCCAAGTCTTAACCCCTGGACCACCAGGGAATTCCCCAAGTCAACTTGTTTAAAACATAAATTGTTCTGTGTTACCCCTTTGCTTAAAATCCTTTAGTAATAATTGTGCCTGCTCAGGGTCTCCAGGGCATCTCATTCTCCAGCCTTTCTTGTTAAAAAAAAAGAAGAGGCTTTTTGTTAGTTTGTCCTTGCCTCAATGTCAAATAAACTGCCACTGATTGTTTTTGACGAACACCCCCAGGGAAAAGGCAGTCAGGTCAGAGACAAGCCTTGCAGATGGGGTTTTCCAGGGAACTACCAGACACTGCAGATGATGACAGTTTTCTGATCAGGGGGCTGAGAAAGCACCAGCCCCATCTTGACCCTGCGTGCAGCTGCTAAGGAGGGGTCTGGCAACAGGGCAAGTGACAGTGCCACAAATCTCGCTGTGCTGAGAATCAGCCGGTTTCCTTAAACACCCTTGGACTGGTGCAAGCCTTTAATCTCCAGACCTATGAAAAAGTGATATATTTGGACAGTTTTTTTGACAGTGATCTCACCGAGTTCTTGAAGGGTCTTCCTGCGCTCTCCCCAATGGCAACCCTCCAGGGTCTCCGCAGTAGCTGTTTGTCTGTTGAACGGATGAGTAGCTGAGCCCTCCCATGGGCTGCTTCCTAGACGGCTTCCATGGAACTTGGCCTGTGTCTGCTGCAGGGTAGGGGAAATCCTCACCATTCACACAGTGCACCGGGATGACCTTTAATCTTGGGTCTACCCCTTATCGGCTCCTAACAAGGAAGGAGTGCACCTACCGGGCGCCCCTCCCATTGTTGGTGCAGCCAGCCTCGGACGCCTCGGACTCAGATGGTAGCAGTCTTCGTTAACAGTAAGTCAGAGGACGCAGAATACGCCGCTGCCTTTTATTTTTTGATTGATTGATTGATTTTTGGCTGCGTTGGGTCTCCGTTGCTGCGCGCGGGCTTTCTCTAGTTGTGGCGAGCGGGGGCTGCTCTTCGTCACGGTGCGCGGGCTTCTCATCGCTGTGGCTTCTCTTTGTGGAGCATGGGCTCTAGGCTTGTGGACTTAAGTAGTTGTGGCACGTGTACTCAGTGGTTGTGGCTCGCGGGCTCTAGAGCGCAGGCTCAGTGGTTGTGGCTCGTGGGCTTAGCTGCTCCGCGGCATGTGGGATCTTCCTGGGCCAGGGCTTGAACCCGTGTCCCCTTCATTGGCAGGCTGATTCTTAACCACTGTGCCACCAGGGAAGCCCCATGCCCGCTGCCTTTTAGATGATCGGCTAAATGGAAACAAGGTTTAACAATTCTTGGAGAAGTGTAGACTCCAGAGAAAAACATCTCCAGCTCCTGCGGGCCGCAGCCACATGTGAGAGGCTTGCTTGCAGAAGGCTTCTGGCTGCCCTGGTGACTCCAGTTGACCGAGACTGTTGTGCAGGTGAACAGAGGCTGCCATGAAGGCTGTGCCAGCAGGAAACCAGGGCGCCTTCAGAAGCGTTCTCAGAAAATTCCAGAATCACCCCACTCCTTCACCTCCCCAAGAGCGGACAGTTTTACATGAAGCCAAAAAACTTGACATTGAGTAACATTTTTGTGTTACCCATTCTTATTACCTTTCCGTACCTTTGATAGCTTCCTAGAATGACCTGGGGAAGTCAGCTCTGGAGTTAGGACTGCAAAGATGCTGAGAGCTAACTTAGCATCTGTTTTCAGAGGAGGGGCCTGATCCCAGAGAGACCCCCCAACTCTTAGTTCATTGTTCGCACTACTGCATGTGTGAACACAACCCCAATACCCACAGGGAACCCCAAATAAATGCAGCCTCGGACTAAGACTCAGAACGTAGCCGTTGTGGTCCCATCTCTGCAGCTAGTGCGTATCTTTGGGTAACTTCTATAGTCTCTGGCCTTGATTCCTGCACCTAGGAAACCTCCCTTTGTCAGGGATTGTTGTAACGGACCCGAGTATGAAAACCTTCGCTGTTCCCAAAGCCCAAATACAAGTGCAGACCATTGCCCTGTGGATGACGAGCTGACCCAGACCCCCGGCCTGAGTTTTCCACCTGACGGCAGGGCCTCCACTGCTTTCTGAAGCTCCCGAGGTTCCCGCCTGTGCGTCCCCCGCCATAGTCGGTGACTCCGAGTTCCGGGCAGTGCTGCCGTATCATCACGGGGCTGCACATCCAAGAAGGCAAGATGGAGAATCACAGATTACTTCCACAAGCAAGTTTACCACACCAAAAAACAAAAGTTTCCTTCCAGTCTGGCCCGAGGTATCAAGAACGCATGATAATAAAAGACGTGCGGCTCTGCCACAGTTCATGGTCACATGCACTGAAGGTCCCTCTGGACCCTCAAGGCTCAGTCGCGCACACGCCCCGTCGAACCCTGTGGCCATGCAGTGGATGAGCCCTGGTCGGGGGACAGACAGCTTGTTCCTTCAGATTCCGAGTGGGGACCTCGGTCCTTCCTCTGAGGACGTCGTCACGCTCAAAGGCCCCTCCAGCTCCCACGTTCTGTTACAACCTGGGAAATGGCCTTGGCTCATTTTTTTTTTCTTCTTTTTTTTTTTTGGCCGCGCCATGTAGCTTGTAGGATCTTAGTTCACCAACCAGGAATCGAACCCACGCCCTCGGCAGCGAAAGCATGGAGTCCTAACCACTGGACCGCCAGGGAATTCCCAGCTCATCTTTTTAAGTTATGAATTTTCTCAAGAAATAGCATAGGATTCTGGAAATATTATGGCCTCAGCAGTCAAGACCTTTCACCCAGTTCTTACTGCTGCCCAAGAAAGGCCCGGGCAGAGCTTTGATTTATTTCTTCCAAAAACAAAGCAGCCCCTTTCCGGCTGCCGCTCCCACAGGGAGAGCCGCCCTCTGCAAGAGTCGCTGGCTTCCTAGTGTTTTATCATTTTAGTCCCTCCTCCTTCTCCCATCATTACCAGATCAACGAAGAATCCAAGTAAAACCATACGGTAATCTCTGGCTTTTCTATGGGCATCGCTGTGAGGTTGACATGTCCTGAACTTTACCCTAAAAGGCTGAAGCAGAGTGCCAGCCTGGTGTTGACAGCTGGTGCAGCTGGAAAGGTTACATTCCTCGGCCCTGACGTGTGGATTTGTATCATCCCAGAGCAGAAATCATTCAGAGGCACAACCTTTTCTGTGCCTGTAACTGGAGCGTTGCGTGACGTTGTAAAATGATGGAAACAGCTCCAAGTCGGCCACCGACTCCCCTGTGATGCCTGCGGGGGGCGGCTCATCTGCTGGCCACTGGTTCTCAAACTCTGACACGTTCCAGAGCCACCTGGAAGGCTCGGGAAGGCACAAGGGGTGGGGTGGGGGGCTCATGCCCAGAGTCTCTGATTCCGCGAAGACATCTGGATTTCTGGCAAGTTCCAGGGCTGCTATTATTAGTGGTTCAGGGACCACATTTTGAGAACCGCTTAGGCAATGATACCTAAGAATGAGGGGGGACCACAGGTAGCAGTTCTATGACTGCAGGACGTCAGAGCATATGCTGAGTGACCAACCGGTTTGCCTGGGACTTGAGGGGCATTGAATTCTGTCCTCTCAAAATCTATGTTGTAGCTGATCCCCAGCACCTGTGAACGTGACCGCATCTGGAAATAGGGTCTTTGCAGACGTAGTTAGTTAGGATGAGGTCATACTAGAGTAGTGTGGGTCCTGAGCCAATGACTAGTGTCCTATAAAAAGCGGAAATCTGGACTCAGAGACAGATACACAGAAGGAAGAACGCCATATGAGGACAGAGGCAGAGACAGGAGTGATGCAGCTACGCGCCAAGGGATGCCAGGGATTGCCAGCCACCACCAGAAGCCGGGGGAACGTGGAACTGATTCCCCTCGGAGCCTCCAGAGGGGAACCAAGCCTGCCAACATCTGGACTTCAGACTTCTGGCCTCATATCTGGGAGGGAATACATTTCTGTTGTTCTAAGCCACCCCATTTGTGGTACTTGTTGTGGCCGCCCTCGGGGGTCCCACAAGGTCAGACTTTCACTTTGAAAACCAGGA